CCCCGCCGCCGGGTCTCCCCACCCTGCCCCCCGCCAGCCTGCGGCTCTTGCTCCCCGTGGCAGGGGCCGTCTCGGCTGCTCCCAACCTGCTGTGGCCCCGTTTCCTGGGGAGTGGGACCTCACCACCTCTTTCAGTTTAAAATTATTACAAAACCAGTAAAAACTACAGGATCTGTTAAAAAGTCCCTCTCAATCTTTCTGACAGAATCATAGTCACAGAATGGTTTGAGTTGGAAGGGACTTATAAGATAAAGTAGTTCCAGCTCCCATGCCTATGAATCAGGGACACCTGCCACTAGACCAGGTTGTTCAAAGCCCCAGACAACCTGGCCTTGAAAATTTCCAGGGAACTTCCCTGGGAAACCTTTGCCAGTGTCTCACAACCATCATAGTCAAGAGCATCTTCCTAATATCTAGTCTAAATCTACCCTATTTCAGTTTGAAATCATCCCCCATTGTCCTATCACTACATGCCTTTGTAAAAAGTTCCTCTCCGGCTTTCCTTTAGCCCCTTCACGTGCTTGAAGGCTGCTATAAAGTCTCTCAGGAGCCTTCTCCAAACTGAACAGCCCAATTCTTTCAGCCTTTCTTCATAGGAGAAGTGCTTCAGTCCTCTGACCATCTTCACAACCATCCTCTGGACTCACTCCAGCAGCTCCATGTCCTTCCTGTGTTGAGAGCTTCGGAACTGGACACAATATTCCAGGTGGGGTCTCATGAGAGCAGAGCAGAGGGGAAGAATCACCTCCCTGCTGGTTGTGCTTCTTGTTTGCAGTCCCATACACAGTTGGCTCTCTGGGCTGAGAGTGCACATTGCTGGCTCATATACTGCTTTTAATCCACCAGTAATCCCAAACCCCTCTCCACACTGTTGCTCTCCATCCATCCATCCATCCATCCATCCATCCATCCATCCATCCATCCATCCATCCATCTCCAGCCTGTACTGGTATTGGGATTGTCCCGATCCTGCTGCAGGACCTCGCACCTGCGGAAAGGCAGGCTGTATCCTCGTGTCTCTCCAGGCCGGTACCCACTGCCCCAGCAGCTC